TAGCGGTTCTTCACTTAGTAAGGTGTGATATCGAGTCAGTTACCATTATAGCTATCCGGATTCAGTTAACGCAAGCTAAGACAAGAGACAACTTCACAGCAACTCACCTGGTCGCAAAATGCCAAGTCTCTATGCCGTTTCCCCTTTGATTTGCATCTATGGGCCGGCTATCAGACGGATAGATTGTCAATCAGCACTACTGCAATGCCAGTGTCACAGCCCCACGTGATACCACCCTCTTCTGCAGATGTAATGCAGGCATCGAGCCATGGAGAGTCTGCGAGCGGGGTAGTGATTCTAAAAATTGTTCATGTTCAGCAGTCATTCTTTGAAATCAGGCCCCCGATAACCGACTTGCGTTGATTTTCGGAGTGTTTTCTTTCAGCCCACATCAGGCAAACCTATCCATACCCGAGTTCCAAGTTGTCAATTATCCCTCCTGGCTAACCATCTTGTAACTGCTGCACCATGTCATCGCTGAGGCAGCGGCTTCTGCCTGGTTGGATCTACAAGACGGAAGAATGCCCGATATGCCTGTCCTTCTTCTCCACTGACATACCACCCGGCCCGGACCCCCGAACCGGACTGGACCCCAAATTCAAGCCCGATCGCCGCTTACTGCAACCAGAGTACCAAAACCGTTGTCACGGCTGCTGGATAGCCCGCTTCACAATCTCATTCTTCAGTCATGTTCTCGACAACGTAGACTCCAATAACATGCGAGATGCCCTGTTCTACATCGACGCAGACGTTGACGGCACGAACATTGTTCTTACCGCAAGGAAAGGAGGGCCAAGAGGCGGTTATATACTATCGAAATTGCAACTGCTTAAAACAACGCTACCACCGGCCCAAGGTTATATGCAGTCCTGTCTGCGATACTTGATCTCAGTCCTTGACCCCAACGCTTACAACCCGCTGCCGGTGTATGTAGCCCATGCCTATGAGTCTCCACCCATCGTAGGCCACACGGGGTCTCCAGATACTTTCAAAAAGATCTTTACGTGGTTCGAGGAATGTGTCGCGCAGCATCCGGACTGTGGCAGTGGACTCAGCATACACCCGATGCCAACTCGTCTGATTAATATCTCAGACAAAGGCAATATGCGATTGGTTGAACATGTCACCACAAGAAGCCACTACATCGCGCTCAGCCACCGATGGATAGAAGCTTCCAAGATGCCGCGATGTGTGAGCACCAACATCGAATCGCTGAAGAAGAATGTTCCTTGGTCTGCTCTTACCCGGAACTTCCAGGACGCCATCATATTCATCAAAGACTTTGCCTCATGGTATGCGAAAGACCACCCAGAAGAAGAACCCATTCGATACGTCTGGATCGACAGCCTGTGCATCATCCAGGATAGCGTTGCAGACTGGAACGCAGAGTCAAAGTTGATGTGTTCTGTCTATGAGGGTGCACTCCTCACTGTTGCAGCAGCGGCCGGGCCCGATGGCTGCTTTGCTGAAGCTGAACGCGTCTACAAGGGATTCGATGTTACCAATCCTCAACGCCAAAACCCGAGACTGATGCTGCGAAAAAGCCTACCGGATCATGAGAATGAGTATGAGATGGCCGGGAGGGAACATGTCATGCAGCAGAACGGTCTTCGTACGCCTAGCAGATTGGATCTGATGACAAGAGGATGGGTGATGCAAGAAAGACTACTTTCTCGCAGGTTCGTCGTCTTCGCCCCAAACGAAGTCATGTGGGAGTGCTACGAAGGCTCCCGATGCGAATGCGGCAGACTCTCTGGCATGACGGGCCACTTAAACCTTGAGGGAGAGGAAGGCAACATGAGTCAGGTTAACCAAAGATCCTATCGTTTCCACGACTCTAAGCGGGTAGAGGATCCGAATTATGCACTCCTGCCGATGCCGCTCAAAATGGCGTACTATGCCTCATTAGACGACATGGGTGAACATGCGGCACGGAACCTCCGCAACTGGTGGCGCCGGCTGGTTGAGAGATACACGACATTAGACCTAACTCAAGAATCAGACAGGCTGCCCGCGATAATGGGTCTCGCAATCCAATATAGCCGCCGAACTGGGCAAGAAATGAAGGATTACGTTGCAGGGATATGGAGGAAGTCACTTCCCTTAGACTTGCTATGGCATACAGAAAATCCCTCCAGTGAACCTATCTCCAAAACTTCGAAGGTCAAGGAAACACCATCGTGGTCCTGGGCAAGCTGCCGAAGTCAGGTCAGAATGCCTCGAGAGGGGAGCATGGAGAAACCGATATACTACGCTGAACTGACTTATGTCAACGATGGTATGACTGTCGGTCTGAGATGTGCTGTTTTCACTGACTTGAGTGAAAGAGCAAGAGACGAAACGTTCCCGATTACTGTGTTGCATGACTTTCCTGACAGAGCGGCAAGTCTTGCTCCTTCAATCTGGGAAGCTGGGGCCGTATTTGCTCTAGTGCTCAGAGCGGGTGAAGGCGAAGATACTACTTGGATGTACCTTCACATCAAGCCCATCAAGTCTGTCCAAGGTGACGTGATCAAATACAGCCGGGTAGGACTTCTTGAACTAGGGAGGCGCAGATATTTGCGAAATAAGATCGCTTGCTCAGACGAATTGGTAGGATCTTGTTTCAAGTCGGGAAGAATTGAAGAGTTAGAGTTAATATAGGTAATGTATAGTAACATGCAATGAGGTCATGAATCAACTGAGATGGCCCTTTCAACAAACATCATTTGGAGTCTTTAGACCTTGAGAACTCATATGTTCTCTCAAACCTCAAACGACACCACTGTGACCAAATCAGTCTCACCACTCAGTAGTCTAACATTGTATCAAAGGGGGGCTTTGTAACGTACCTCACCACAGCTGATCGGCTCATATTTGGGCGGATTCTTCTCATCCGTGCAAGTAGGAAGCACAGAACACTGTTCATTATGATTAAACCCAAAGAAAAAGGGCATAGAGTACCGGTCCTCGGGAGCGTAGTTGAAGACCCGATGGACCGTTGACTTGAATCTATCGTTGGACAACCGCTGCAAAAAGTCGCCAATGTTGATGACAAAGGTGCCGGGAACTGGCGGCACCTTGATCCACTGCCCGTCTTTTGTGAGTACCTGCAACCCGCCCACGCTGTCCTGCCAGAGGAGGGTGAAGCACTGCAGGTCAGTGTGAGCGCCCAGGCCAACGTCGATCGTGGCGTCTTGCGCTTCAGTGTTCTTGGGGTAATAGTTGCAGACGCTATCACTGTAAGGTTGTCAGTCTATGCTCACGACCTCGTCAAAGATATTATCACGTACCTTCCGGGATATGTAATAACATCGTCAAAATAGTTCTCAGGAACATCCAACGCTAATGCGAAAGCCCTGATCAAGCTCCTCGCAAGCGTCAAACAGCCCTGCCAGTAGGTAATCATATCGTCCTTGAACCCGGGCAAATGGCTCGTACCCTCCCACACAAAGTCCTCATGCTTCATCCATGGCTTCACCTCCTCTGGCACGGCATCCGGATCCTTGGTCTCGGGGTCATACCGCGGATCATACCGAAAACTGAACCCCTCACGATGATCCTTTGTCTCCGTCGGCGAGATCTGCGCAGCGCGTTTCTCAGTCCACCCGTTGAAGAATTTGCTCTTCTTTTGCGTCGCCAGCGCCTTCTTCTCATTCGGCTGCGAGAAAAAGGCCTGCGCCTGCGAGAAGGCCGCGTCGATGGTGGCCTTTGGGATTCCGTGATTCTTGATGTAAAAGAAGCCCGTGTTCTCAGCCGCGTCACGGATGGCGGCGGCGAGGGCTTTGCGCTCGGCCTCGGTGCCGTGTATGGTGGAGAGGTCGATGACGGGGACCTCAGATGCGACGCAGTCTCGGGGCGGGGTCTTGAGCACGTCGCGGTAGACGGGGCCGTAGGCGGACATGAGCTCGAGCTTGTAGCTCTCTGGAGCGGTCTCAGTCACCGTGGTAGTCATGGTTGCGGGTCGTGAGAGTGAGATTAGTCCAGTCGTCGGGTTGTTGAGTTGAGCTATCTTGTTCTTGATCTATGTTGAACAAAATAGTGGTCGGCAAGCTTCAGAGTAAAGGCAAATGATCCCCTTTTGAATTACGCAAATTGTCTCTTTCTTGAGATCAACACTCAAGATAGGTTTCACTGCACACGAATTAGATGTGTCAACTCCGATTAAAGCCTCCGGATGAATAGCGTGCTCAAATGGAACGGATCACCCGCTGTCGGGTAGTTGAAATGTTTTCCGCCGGTCTTAGCCGGAAATCGTCTGAGATTTGAACGACGGCGAATGACACGATAGCCAAAGATAATGGCGTGCGACACGGTTCGCTGGAGACAATCTGCAAATCCGCCCAGCACGGCCGCTTATCGCTCTCGGGACAAATGCGCCGACAACGGACCGTGTGGGGTACGGGGTTGATCCCCGTCTTCGGAGCCACCAGGGGCCCTTTGCTTCCCGGGGGCTTCTGTTTTCTCCGGTCGACTCTAATACTTATATGATGCCGATCTACCAAGATGCTTGGCATCAACTGAGAGGTCTTGGTGATGCTTGAGTTCACTTCGCTGTCATCTTTCCAACAGTAGAATATCTTCAACCAGGATTATATCCACTCTATACACTGGCGAGACTCCATACAGCAGTGCACAAATCTCTTCTGTGAAAGGTTGCACAATGTGTCGACTATTGAGACTCGTCAGCATCCCTGCAGTGCTTATCTCCCCCACATGAACCGCACGACCCCGGTATCTTGAAGAGTATCATGGCTATCAGCACGCAGCAGCCGATCGCGACTCCGTAGCCGATATTATTACCATTATTTGGTATAAGTCTCTGTCATGGTAACGTTGAGCTCCTCCGGATATCTCCCGTTTGCTATTCAGGCAACTTGTACGGGTGGGCGGGCATTGCTTCTTCAACGGTGATCATTACAGCTGAGTTTCTAGAGACGAGCATCAAGACTCGAGAATCTCTGATCGCAAGCCCACCCTCGGAGCCAAGTCTGCCGACACCGGCAAGCCGCATACACAAGATGGGCCTCCTCAACCGCCTCCGCGTCCCCGCCGCCGCCGGTACCTCGGACATTCACGGCCGCGACGCCCTCCTCAACAACGACGACCTCCGCCCCCTCAAGCTCGCCGACCGCACCTGGACCCAATGGACCTATTTCACGTTCTGGTTCTCCGCCACCGCGACAGTGTCCAACTGGTACGCCTCCTCCACCGCCCAGGCCCTCGGCCTCTCCATGTGGGAGTCCCTCGCCTGCGCTTTCGGCGGACAATGCCTCATCGCCGCCATCATCACCCTCAACGGCCGGCCGGGCAGCTGCTATCACGTGGGATACCCCGTCGTGTGCCGTGCTGCCTTTGGCATCTACGGCGCGTGGTGGCCAACCTTTAACCGCGCCGTCATGGCTATCGTCTGGAACGGCGTTAATGCCGTGCAGGGGGGACAGTGCATCTACGTGATGCTCCACGCCATCATCCCGGGTATCGCAAACATCCCAAACACCATGGGCGAGGGCTCGGCGCTCACGACAGCGGGGATGATTGGCTTCGTCATCTTCTGGCTCATCACCTGCGCGTTCCTCGTCATCCCTGTCCCAAAGATGCGCGGGCTCGTCTACGCGAAGCTGTGCGTCTTCATCATATCCGCCGTAGCTATGCTTGCGTGGACGGCCACAAAGGCAGGTGGTCTCGGTCCTGTAGTACGCCAGGGCGGTACGGCGACGGGATCAAAGAGGGCGTGGCTGATCGTGCAATTCCTGATGCTAGGCGCGGCCAACTGCGCCACCTTTGCGAGTAACGCCGCGGATTTCCAGCGGTATGCAAAGAAGAAGAACGATGTTATTGTCGGTAACCTCTTCTGCTTCCCTGTTGCCAACTTCATCGTGGCAGCGGTGGGAAACCTCGTCTGCGCCTCTAGCGAGTTGATCTTTGGCGAGTTGATCTGGAACCCCGTGACGCTGCTGGATAGCCTCCAGACGGCCGAGTACACGGCAGCCAACCGAGCCGGGTGCTTTTTCATCGCCGGCTGCTTCGCATACTGCTGCATCTTCAGCTCCATCTTTGAGAACTCCTTGCCGGCTGGTAACGACATTGCGGCGTTGTTCCCCAAGTACCTCACAGTTCGGAGGGGCTTCTTTGTCTGTGCCGTCATTTCGTTCGCCATCAACCCTTGGTTCTTGCTGGTAAGTCCTACTCCAACCTGCTCGAGTGTGAGTATGATTGCTAATGAGCACTAGGGCTCTGCCTCCGTCTTCGTATCCTTCCTCTCCTCTTACCAAATCTTCCTCTCAGCCATTACGGGCGTCTTGCTGGTAAACTACTACATCATCGGCCGCGGTCGCATCAGCATACCAGATTGCTTCACGTCAATGAAGCCAGGGGCTTACCACTACTTCCACGGCTGGAACATCCGTGCCTATGTCGCCTATATTGTTGGCATCATCCCCAACTTTTACGGCTTCCTCAACAACATGGGTGTTTCAGCCCCCGTTGGCGTCACGAGGTTCTACTTCTTTGCGTATTGGGTCGGACTGTTCCTGTCCGGCTTCATCTTTTGGGTTTCCTGCAAGATTTGGCCACCTCCGATCATGGAAGAGGGATGGGTCGAGCCGAAGGACTATGTCAGGCCCGAAGAGCTGGAAGGCGAGGGGCAGGTCATCGAGGCTATCGACATGCCCCAAAGCGGCGAGGTGGTGGACCATGAGAAAGGTCTTGGTGAAAAGGTGGCCAAGGTGTAATGTGACGAACCAGAGGACCGCCAAGAAGATAATACGGCAATGAGATAGATCCGTCCTGATAATGCTAGTACGAAAAGGTCGTCAAGGTCTCAAAAAAGCATTGCAATACGTTTAATGATGGGAAGCTACCTGCTAAAGCTCAGCAAGAAGACTCCAAGCAAGTGGCTTGCGATGCGTAAGGCCTCAACCGTATCGTCATTGAAAGACTGGGCAAGGTATACGGGCCTCTGACTCCTAACGCCTCCTAATCCACGCTCGAACCCTAAGAAGTTAAAAGGACGAAACAGTGGTGACATGCACCACCGCGTCGATATATAGCCGGTTCAAAACAGTGCACGTTGTACCGGGCTTCATCTTGAACATTCCGTTCGGGCCCATCGAAAATGGCTCCGTATTCTCGAGTTTCACCTTAAGTTTACCCGCTGCCAAGGAGCAGATTCGGACTTTCTCTGGTTCGGCGGCCCATTCATGCGACTCTCCGGGCTTGATGACGATGACGTTGAAGGATATCTCCTCAGAGACCGTCACAGCTTGATTGCTCGTGAGATAGGAGTTGGAGAAGGCTACATCTGGGACAAGATTAGCATCGCAGTATAGCATCATATGGACGGTACAAGACGTACTTGTAGGGGATTCGCTGCGTTCATCACGAATCCGCCCTGGAGCAATTTCCCAGTCTTCCATTTCCAGAGTATTTAGTGGCATGGCGTTGCCGCTAAGTGAGGAGGCATGTCCGACGGGCGTCGATATTCTAAAATCGGCAAGAGGCTTTGCGATAGCCGCTGAGTGCCTCGTGGTGCGTCTTGGCGGGCTTTCAGGTGGGTGGCTATCGACTTTGTGGACGCTCGGCGCCGGTTGCGTGGATGGCGGCAGGGAAGAGGCAGACACCGGAGTTGAGGTTTTGGGAGGTGGTTGAGATGCTGGAGGATATGGCAGGGCATAAGCGTCAGCAGCCGTTGTCGCAGATGCGGAGCGGGTTGCGATCGTAGATCGTGTAGGGGGTGCTATCGGGGTCACTTGTGGGCTTGATGTTCCCTGGCCCGAGGACAAGAAGGAGCAATTGTTCCTTTCTCTGCGGAAGTTAGACCGCCACTGACATCCAGAGCAGGCCTTGTTTCCAATCTCCTTTAAGAACCCAGGAGCTGCGGCAGACATGACGACGCATGGCTGCAGAAAGTTCTCAAAGGGATCATTGTGCTTGTAACAAAAGTGGCAACATGGCATCGCAACATCGCCAGTAAGGAATATCAGAAGCGCAACTGTTGCGAGGGGTGGCAGGTGTCCGATGCCACCGTACTTCAACTTCCACGTCTGAGGTAATGGACGCCGTTGGGTGAGTTTCAGCAGCGCCTTCACGTCCGGTCTTTCTACCGGTATCTTGTAAGCGGGCGAAAGGCAGCCAGAAAAATACGCAAGGAGCGAGCCATTCGAGGCAGAAACGCTTTGACTTAGAGGCGGAGCCACTGAAGGTGGTTTGATAACCGTCATATCGTTCTTCAAGTATGACTTGGGGATGGCCCGGGACGGGGCTGGGTTCACAGGCTTCGAAGTCGGGCCCCACGGAACAGGGTTCGGAGCAGTGGCCGGGGCCGACACCGGCTTATAGCCTGCAGTCGCTGGCTCCGCCAAGGGTGGCTCGTCGCCTCGGAGGGGATTCTGGGAGACCACGATAGGGGCCGCGTACTTGGTGCCTGCCCTCTTATAGTAGTCCACGAATGACAGGGTCCCGTCGAGGTTGTCGTTGAACTTGGAGCTACGATGCTTTATCTGTATGTTGTCAGTGTCACAGGACTCTGGGATCAATCGAAGAGAAGACTTACGCAGAAGTGCGCTCCAAGCCCGTTCCACTTTGGAAAAATGACGCGACAGTTGCGGACTGGACAGATGTAGGGGATTTTTGGGTCCGAGTGAAATTTGTAATTCGTAGGTATGATGGCGCCGCAGGTGGATTCTATGCCCTGGGGCGTTCTCCATTGCAGATACCCGCGAGGATGCGGGCTTTTCGTGAATGTGAACTCTTGATCGGTGCCTTGAGATGGCGGCTGTATCACTGTCAGTCACAGTCTTTTAGGTTAGAAGGCACTTCTCTTACGAGGGCGGCTTTTGCAGATGGCGTGCCTGTAGTATTGATCTCCAGGTCTCCTTCAGTCTCTCCGCCTTCGTCTTCGTCTTCGTCCGTCATATCATCAGCATCTGCTTGATCCTCGTAGTCCATATCCTCGTCCGAGGATTCGATGACTTGGGCTTCATGCGTTGCTCCTGTCGATGATGAGGCGCCTTCGGTACTTTTCAGGATGTCTGGCCTGGAACCGGGTTGTCCAAGCCCGAGGACGTTCAGTAAGTCTTGTTCCGTGGCAGTTGAACTTGTTCCTTCTTCGGGCGATTTCCTAGTCGATGGGCCCTTAAGACCAGTATCCGTTGCCTGCCGCTTAGCATCACCCCCAGCCAGATTCTCAATCAGAGGATGCTTTCTCTTGGACGATGCTTCGAATGCAGATCCTGTAGACGTGTCAGCAAGTGGCAATCTCTAATGACTTCCTCCATGAAGCGCCGTCAAGAAGGGCGCTCAAATAGAGTATGCTTGTGAGACCCAATCTGGCAAGAGCTGGAAGGAGCAAGTCAACTCACCACCAAGCCAGTCCTTTGCGTTCGCCGACTGTCCAGCAGAACCCGATTGGCCTCCAGATGCGTTACTAGAGGCCCATGAATCTTGCAGAGCCTGAATCTTGGAATGCTGCGCAAGACTCTTCTTCTCGCGCGCCATGTCTGATTCTGAACCACCTTCCGAAAGTACCGCTTCGAGCTTGACTGGTAATGGATCTTCAGGATCGGGCTGAGCAATGTCGCTCACGATGCGAGCTGGTTCCGGGCTGCCTGACCTCGTGCTGTCACTGTCGTCAGAATCTTCAGTGCCCGAACTTGGTTGAGCGGATTTCAGCTCTGGTGTGTTGATTTTGCTTTCGGCTTGAGCCTGAGCTTGAGCTTGAGCTTGAGCTTGAGCTGGGAGAGGCGCAGAAGCTTGAGCAGGGGTGGAAGGTGATGGAGCAGGCCCCGTAAATGGCTTCCCGCCCAGTAAGGAAGTCGCCCAAGGTGGTGCCTGTCCTCCGTAAAGACTCGGTCTCATGAGCGGTTTCGATGCTCCGGTCCTCTTCATCTTCCTGCCTGAAGTGTCCCCGCTGCCGGAGGCTGAAGAAGGCGACACTGTGCGGGTGGCATTGTTTGCCTGGGTTGTCGAGGTCGTATTGGCCGGTGACGAGGTGTGCTTGAATGAATGTGAGAGCCCCGATGGTTGTGCGGCCTGAGCGTTGGATGCCATTGTTCTATTCCTTTGACTTGAGAGACGAGGTTGCTGCCCACCTCATGCAGCTGCACGCGCACTTCTAGATTGGAGATGCTGCTGCGGGGGTCGAGTCCGAATTTCATAACTTTCAACTGCTTCGCATCTGGGCGTCTGGGCGTCTGATTGTGAAGAGCAACGAGAGAGTGAAGTGAAGGTTGAATGAAGATTGAAGATGGACGTTGGAGGAGACGCGACGGGACACGCGACTGCTGGGGGCGCAGGCCAAAGGTTCAGGTACTCCTTCCCCCAAAATTGGTGGTTCAGTACATTGCAATTCGGCGAGTGCCTCCCCCACACGCGACCTCGACGGGAAGTCATTAAAGAAGCAAGTGCCTACGGCTGCCCCATAAAGCCCCCTTTGCAACAAAGCAGACCTGCCGTTTAGGTAAGGCAACTCAAGTTGTCCAAGTTTCGATTTTGAATTTCTCAATCTCTCCAAGTCGAACACCTTAGCCAGGGTTGATAGGAAACTGTGGATCCTAGCAGCACTGTAGTAGCAGTCAAAGTCAGAGAGTATGACACCAAATCGTGGATGCTAGTATGGATTTGTACAAGATATTCTACACTCAAGATGACCCCCATGACATTTACGCCTCGGTAGCCATGACACAAATCATCCCAATTCGCCTACTCTCACACGTATTTCTCACCCATGCCCCCAAGCAAGCAAGACATAGTTGATCGATTACCGCTTCTTCTGCGACTTGGCAGCCTTGGCCGCCACCCTCTGCGCCTTCTGCTTCTGCTTCTTCTGCTTGGCCAACACGGCGGCGTTCTTCTGCTCCGATAGCCTCTTGGACGCAGCAATCGTCCACTCGTCCACCTCCATCTCGGCAAACTTGGCCTGCGCTGCCCTCTGTCCCGACAAGTTACGCTCCTTGGCGTATCTCTTCTGCCTCAGCTTGGCCTTGCGGCTCATGCCGCCAATGTTCATCTTGACCAGCCGTCCGATGCGCCAGTTGTCCTCGCGGTACGAGTAGTCGTCCCGCAGCTTCAGGATTCTGGCCGGCTGCGTGGGCGCGCCCTTGGCCGTCCGGGGCGCGGGCCGCACAACCTGCGTGGGGATGCCAGAGGCCGAGATGGCGGGCGTCTCGACAGGCTTGGCAATGGTGTGCGCCGACATGTTCAGCTTGCGCTTGCGTTCGGCGTGCGTCGGGTAGGGGAGAACGTCGTCCTTGTTGAAGACGACGCCAATGTATTTCCGGTCCGGGTGGCGCGCGGGATCGCGGTAGTATTTGACGTAGCCCGTGGCCATGGCGTGGATCGTGTGGTCGCGGCCCATGATGCAGTTCTCGCCGGGCCACCAGAGGGAGCCGCGCTGCTTGTAGATGATGTTGCCGGGGATGACATACTGGTCTGCAAGCTGTTAGTATCGAGCTCTTGACCGGCCGTTCTGGTGATGAATATGGAGCTCTCCACTGAATCCAATTCGAGACATATGAGGGAGATGGAACAAACGTACCACCAGTGCGCTTCGCTCCCAGCTTCTTCGGTATCGTCCTTTTGGGTGCAAGCTTGTAGGCACCCTGCGACTTGACGGAGGCGTATCTTCGTCCGGCCACGAGGGCATTGGCGGCATCGGCGCGGAGCAGCTGCGCGGCGGTTGAGGCCGTGGACTGGATCGGTGCGGTCGTCCGCAGGAGACCGGCGGCAGCGGCCA